TTCCAGAAAAACTGCGAGCAGGGTGTTAAAGGAGGAACATCCCTTCTATCACCCCTACAGGGGGTTTTCTTCCAACCTCTCTGTAACTTCTTTAATGCGATGTCAAAATTAGGTGTTATATTTAGAAGTACGTGCAAGGTCAAATTTAAAAATTAATTTCTCAAATTCTGGGGCACTTCTAGAAAAACTGTAACATGGGTTTTAAAGGGGAACATCCCTTCTATCACCCCTATAGGGGGTTTTCTTCCAACCTCTCTGTAACTTCTTTAATGCGATGTCAAAGTTAGGTGTTCTGTTTAGAAGTAAGTGTAAGGTCAAATTTAAAAATTAATTTCTCGAATTCTGGGGCACTTCTAGAAAAACTGTAACATGGGTTTTAAAGAGGAACAACCCTTCTATCATCCCTGCGAGGACTTCTCTTTCAATCTGTGTTTTGTATGTAGGTGAGTTACATTTCTCGGTGTGTGGGTCACTTTTGAAATAAACGCTTCCAGATAACAAAAGAGGACAATCGTTTTATTATCAGGATACAAACTTTTTTGACAATCTTTGTGTAACTTTGTTAGCGAATGACACGTCTTCGTTTACATACTACGGTGCACCCATCAAACAGAACGAGATACGTGTCTAACAATGTCTCAAGTGCTCGTGTTTCTACATAGGTACATGTATTAGCGTCTTGTAAATATGCAAATCCCTCATTCAATGGAGATTACATATTTAACTTATCGTGTTAGATATATCACGATTGAACACGACACAATTTCCATTACGAAGGAGCATCAACTTGTCGATATGTGTTCCTTACAAGAGAGTCGTAGAACACGAGCTTCCTTCCATTAACGGTTTCTCTTTGGACCCTTTATCCATTATTAGTTCCCACGAACCTGTAACTGTTCATTCAATTTGCATTACGAGGTAAGAATAAGTGAAATTTGAGATGACCTATTTGTATAGCGACAGTGCACTCCTCCAGTTTATTGTTAAGGGTACCCGGCGCCTCTTGCACATCTTTCGAGTTCCTTCGGCCTTTTTCTTGCTTTATATGCTTAAAAAAAAACCAATGTAACTTCAGCATGCAAAAGTTAGAACCGTTTAGGGACCGCTGGTGTATTACGACTTTCAGTTTTTTTTTTTAGAACTTACGGGGGTTGGTACCGCACTTAATCCAATGCCCTTGAAAAAAAAAATCCAATGTAACTTCAGTCAAGTATCAAAATATACCCATCTGAAATTAAAATAAATGTTAACATTGATGGATTACCTATTTCAAAAAGTTCTACGGGCCAACTCTGGCCAATTCTTGGTAGTTTAGTTGTAGACTTTTATACCGAGCCTTTTTTAATTGGGGTATTCTATGGATTACATAAACCTAGTAATGTCAATGAATTCTTGGCCCCGTTTGTAAATGAAGCAATATCTGTAATGCAAAATAATCTTTGTGTTGATGGACAGCAAATAAAGCTGAAAATTAACAGTCTTGTGTGTGATGCACCTGCCAAAGCATTTATTTGTGGAGTGAAACATCATACAGGGTACTTTGGTTGCTCTAAGTGTACTGAGGAAGGAGATTATATAGAAAGAAGAGTGGTGTTTCCCGAATTAAACAAACCATTACGTACTGATGACTCCTTTAAAAATAGAACCCAAGAGGAGTATCATAGGGAGTCAACACTTGTAGAGCGTCTAGGAATTGGTATGGTATCACAAGTACCATTAGACTATATGCACTTAGTGTGTTTAGGTGTCACAAAGCGTCTTATTAAACTATGGTTTAAAGGTAATATTCAAATTAAACTTAAACCGGATAAAATAAAAATAATCGAATCACGAATTTCTTCTATTAAGGAATTTATTCCTTGTGAATTTGCTCGCAAACCGAGAAACATTTCTGAAATTGATTTTTGGAAAGCCACTGAATTCCGATTATTCATTTTATATACAGGAATTGTTGTTTTAAAAGACGCCCTTCCAGAACGATACTACAAACACATGTTGTGTTTAACCACTTCTATTAGAATCCTATGTAGCGTCCATCACAAGCATATGTTAAACTATTCAGAGAAGTTATTACAACATTTTGTAAAAAAGTTTGGCGAAATTTATGGTGAAGAATGGTTATCATACAATGTTCATAGTTTAATACATTTACCAAATGATGTTCGCAATTTGGGAACCTTAGATTCCTTTTCAAGTTTTAAATTCGAGTCGTATCTTTACAAATTGAAACAAAAAATTAAACATTCAGGGAAGCCGTTACATCAGATTGCAAATAGATTGCATGAAATGAATGATTTTAAGCATGAAGGTCCCCTAAAACTAGATTACCCATGTGTATATAAAGGGAAAGATTATATTACCTTAAAGTTTGAGAATTTTTCTTGCTCTAAAACAAAAGCTAATAGTTGCATATGTTTACAGAACGGAAAAATTGCAATTATTCAAAATATTACTTCAATTAGTAACAAAATAACGATAGAACTTATCAGTTTCAATACAATGCATTCCTTTTTCGATGAACCATGCAATTCTGAGCACTTACAAATTTTTCTTGTAGACAAAAACAGTTTCACTCATCCCTTTAATGTAAACCCAGAAGATGTTAAATACAAATGCTTGCAGTTACCTTATCCAGAACCAGAAAGTAAAGATTATATGGTAGTTATTCCCCTACTGCATTGCAATTAAGTTACAGGTTGTCACAAGTTACTTGTCATATACCTAGATATCATTAGTTTTCCTGTACGTAGCATAGCGTAAAGAAATATACAGGGTGTTACATGACTGTATGTAAAAAAAAATTGGGTGGTAGAGGGGATCAAAACAAGAATTTTTTTTTTAAATAAACTGGGTCCAACGTGTTTCGTTTGGGAGCCACCCTAAAAAAAGTCGTGAAATTTGCAATTCTTCTTTAATTTTTTCTCAGCAACCATAAGAGGTACAAAGATGGGTGGCACGTCCTTGAATAGGTTTTCGGGTATGCTCTTTCCGATTTTGCCACATTTTTTTCAAAATTCCACTAAATGGCGCACCCCTAAACGGGGGTGTGAAAAAGAATTCTGATCTCGACGAATGGCGTCTGGGGGTTTTTGAACTACATGCGGAATTAGATGGTTTACTAGTAGGCGAGGGTCACTTTCTGACACGAAGGGCCAATTTTCAAATGAGTATAACTTTTCTCTGAAATGTGATTTTAAAAAACCGTTCGACAGTTTTGTTCTTTAACTCATCAAGTATGTACACAACAAATTCTTTCCATTTTCGTTGTCCGACCAAGAATTGCAATGGATTTTTTTTTTCGAATTTTTAAAAACTAATTTCAGATTCGTGATTTTCATGTTCAAAAACCTCCAGATACCAAATTTCGTCGTTCCACCCATCTTTGTAACTCTGCCTGAGAAAAAAATTAAAGAAGAAATGTAAATTTCACCACTTTTTTGAGGGTAGCTCCTAAACGAAACACGTTGGACCCTCGGTTTATTTGGAAAAAGTGCTTGTTTTGATCCCCTCTTCCACCCAATTTTTTTTACATACGGTCATGTAACACCCTGTATATTAATTTACCCTATTTTACTATTATGCACTAATATCGCCATCTTCATACTATGTTATAACACCTTACAATTCGCAAGTGAATGCTTGAATGAATTAGTAGGATGTTAATTAGTTCTCTCTTTATACGTGCACTTTTGTTAAAATGTTTCAGGTCAGCCCTATGGCATATTGTGTGGTGTCATTTGAGGATGGAACGTTCTCTGAACTTCCAAGCAACTGGCTTGTAGGAAATAAGGAGCAATGCTGGTGGCCCCGAGGACCGCTTATAAAAAATATAAATTCCCTTATGGAAAAATGTGTAGAACCTAACGGAAAAAATTGGGAGCAACATCCAGTGAAAGTTGAGTTCTACTGCTGTAAGTTCTGTACATCTTTAGATATTACTTATAAAACATATTTATATTCTATGTTGCTCAGCGTCATTACATACTGCTAGGCTGAAAGCATTGGATCCTGAATATACGTCCTCAGAAGAAAAAGGCAGGGGACGTAGAAAAATAAAACGAAAAAACCTATCTGATTCAGATAGTGAAAAGGGTATGATGTTTTATTGATATTTAGTCAATAATTTAATTTACAAATCATGGTTGACATCAGACAAAATCTCTTATTGCAATTATAAAAATGAATTTTATTGCTTCAATTTTACAATGTAATACAATTTCAGAATGTGAAACACCACCCCCTCAATTCACTTGCTCAACATTTCAGTCACAATCAGATTTTCAATGTTCGAATGTGGAACTAACTATGGCTGATGTTCCACTAATCATATTGCCTTCTGGAGATAACTCGTCAGGTAATTTAAAAATTTTGATTAAGTACCTTATTACAAGAAACTGGTTTTATAGGTGTAGATGAAGCTGCAGCACAGGTTTCACCAGTAACGTCTCGGACAGCTACGCCAATATTATCCCAAGTAGTGACCCCAATAAATCTAAGTACTTAACTTTTTACTAATATTGAAAATATTATAATAAATAGAAATCTAAGAAGATATCTGCCACACTACTGCTACCTATATTTTGCAGGCACAGCCACTTTATCCACACCTGTTGTTACACCAAGTTCATCTAGAACTATCACACCAAGTTTTAGTAAGTTTATAAAAATTATATTTTTATTTCAGTTTCTATAGAATTGAGTAAAAGACCTTGTGGAAATCTGAAGCAATCTCTAATAAAACAATTACTTGAGACTATTCCATATTCACAATCTCATTTTATTGCAGGCGATCCAGTGCAGACCTGCAATCGTGTACTGGAATTATCCACACAAATTTTGTTTTATGTCAAAAGCCTAGACAAGAGGCTACAAAAATTAGAACATGGTGCAGATGATCAACAAGGTAGTGCCAGTCAATTGAATGAATTATTTAATAATAAGCTACCCATTACCAACGAAGAAATGCTCCATCAATTTGAAGAATGCCTGAAAAACGAACCAAATACAGTAGCATCTTATGTATATATGTAGTATGTATTGTGATTCACTTTGTTACAATTTTCGTTCAATTGTAGGTAACTTTTATAAAAAAATTGGGCGGTTCCACTTATCAAGAATTTGTGAATCGCTCATTAAAAAATACAATATCTTACGCATTTGGGACAAGATGTAGTTGGTTGGGGTTGAGAAATAACCTTAGAATATGCGACTACAAATTCATCAAGCTTATAAAAGGTAATTTTTAATATAATAATTAATAAGGATATAGTAAATAATGCATCTTTGTTGAGTCTTATAATTACATAAAATTGATAGATATAATTTCAATTCACCTGAAATCCAGCGTATTGCAGTAGTGTGTTTGGGTTTATTATTTCTATGTTCAATATAACATACCAATTTTGTATGTTATTTAAAAAATTTATTTTGAAAGTGATTATGCATAGTTACTAGAGCACATAGTTCCTTTCCTTAGTGAATAATTAACAATGAGATTTATATTTCATATTCCTTTAACTTAAAAATTTGCTCAATTAAAAATTTTCAAAACTGTGAAGTCTTCAGAGTTGGATAAAATTATAATTTACTTGTTCTGTTTCCTAGTGTGTATTTGGTGATTTATTTGACCAATTGCATTTTCTTGTTGCAGATGTTGCATATGACACATATCGCTGTAGCGATACCTTAATTGAAAAAGCTGGCAGCGAATGGTTCAGACTATGTAGTTTACGCCTTAAGCGACAACAGAAAAAAGATACACCATAGGCAGTTGTATACGATTTATCAATGTATTTGAATTCATTTATGTATTTATTTGCGAAGTAAATTTTTGTTTAGATTTCTATACAGTTACAAAATGTTTATTTTTTATGTTCTGCAAGTTATCTCTTAGTTTTGTAGAACTATTGTATTTATGTTTTGCTTCATTATCAGAAATTCTTCAAGACTGAAATTTGAAAAAGTTTCTGCATATATGTCCTAGAAATCTGGTTCTACAAATCAAAGTGGAAACCTGTAATATATATCCATATCCATCCTACTAATATGAAATTTAAATGAATAGTACATGTATATAACATGTAAAGTTTTAGAAGGTAACAAGTATGTAATATGCCGATTACATGGTGAGCACATAAATGTAACATACTATAGCAACAGTTACATTACTTTGTTATTGATGAATAGTACATGTATATAACATGTGGAGTTTTAGAAAGTAACAAGTATGTAATATGCGGAGTACATGATGAGCACATCAATGTAACATACTAGTAACGGTTACATTACATTGTTATAGTAATTCTCCATAACAAAGAAAGAACAATGTTGCTGACATTGAGAGGTAATTGTTGGTTACATGCAATCCACTTCTTATATAATTGTTCCTGATACGTAAATATAATTTATATCGCACTTATGTAAACATAATGTAACTGTGTTTGCTGGGAAGTGCTTTGCGAGTGGGAAGTGCCGTAAAGAAAGCGATATGTTGAAGAGAGGTGTACAATGAACTATAGAGAATGAACCGTGCGACGCGATATACAGGTTCTTATTGCTGGGAAGTTTGCCCAGTGAAAGACATTGTAGTGTACTTAACCCCCAGGTTCTACGCTAACTTCACCCTACTAACACACAACTAAAGAAATAAAGTCAACCCGGCAATGTTTAAAAATGGCACCCGAATGACTATTCCCTCCAAATCTAAACAAGATACCGCTTAAATGTGAAAAGTGGTACGTGATAAAACATCTAAGACAGGGTTCCCTTACGTTAGTTGTAATTTTGTAAACAACGCTTGGACCTGAAGCACAGTAGGGAAGGAACGTAAGATAAAACACTGAAATTGTGAAAAGTTTGTTTAATAATGATCCCAATTATTAAGATTGTGAAAGCTCGGAAATTTAAGTCAAAATAAATTACATTGCAAAAATAAACTTTGAAAATGGTAGTTCACCGAATAAAAATAGAAATAGGGTGGGAAAAAAGAACTTGCCAATAAAAAAACCAGCCGTTAAATTAATATTAAATTGTGTTGTAAAATTAATTGTTTGTAATGATGTGAATGACCAAGAGGTAACATATATAAAAAAACAAGTTTTAGGAATTATGGGTCAAGTAAGAAAGTACCAAGATTCTAAGAAAGGGTGAAATACATAGGATGTGACTCATGTTTTGTGCAAAAAGTCCTTTTGTTAAAAGCAAGATGGAAAATTACATGACCTTGTAGGCAAATTTAACTAAAAACAAAATATGTGGAAATTATGAATAGTAACTCATTTATCGCACATAGATTCTAAACTGAAGAGGTTTGATTAGCGTAATCCCGCTCCGGCAAGATAGGTAACCTGCCCCTGGTTTCGAGCCTACAGTTGAATGTCGAAGACAATCATGGAATTTGGTGTCGTAGCTCAATTTTGACTACAGTTTTTTTTACCACACCCGTGACTGCTTCATTCATGGAGAAAAATGTTAGTAACAAACAACAAGTCAGTACATACCTCAAACGAATCGGTAATTTCCACATAATAAAATGATGAAAACTTACTTATATGAATTTTACTTCAGGGACAAGACCAAGTAATCAACATCAATAAACATAAAGGCATCACATATGTGATTCTCCATTACGGTTAAACCAAGTAAATTTCAAAAACAAAGATTCAAACACAAAAAATATAAAATGTGGCATACAAAACACAAATACGATATAAACTTACGACCTTCTGCAGAGGCACCTCTAAAAAGTATTATGCGGGTGACTCTGTAATTGGACGCAAGCCTGTTGAGGGCCCAGAACAAGAGGGGGATAATAAATAAAGAAATGCAAAGATTACTACTTGCATAAAATAACACAAAATAACAACAAACATTTATGGAGCGACGACGCGACCACGACCGCCATTCAAGACAAGTTGCCCAACGTAACCGCCGTTCCGTTAGTGCTTTCTAGATGACGCAGGCAGCTTTTTCCCACCTAGAAATTGCATTGTTGCCAACGATTTTTAAGCAGGGAGAATACGCAGAAAACAGGAAGCGTACCAACATAGTCTTGATTTAACAAAATATAGCGAGGTATTTCGACTCTAGCATTACGCTTATCAGCCGTATGGGCACGACGTTTGAGAGGGTAAAATAACCGTGAAGTTGGGAGACCATGTGCAACTATACAATAAGTCGCACAACAGAAAAATTGATAACGTGTTGCTTACATATGATACGAGTGTGCACCTTACGTGGATGCATTGATTATATACACTATCGTGGATGGCACGAATTGAACTCCTACTTTGTGTATACTGGTGGCGGTTGTTTTTATGTGTTGAGACGTAAGACACGGTCGAGGAGGGAATTGAATGAAACGAAGAGGTTTTGTTATATAGCTGTAGGTTTTGTGGGTAAGAAGAACAGACAAGAACAAACAATAAAATATATTAAGAGGTAATATACCTATAATACCTCTACGAACACAACAAGGCACCGGGGAAAAAACCTTTGGAAAAAAAGCAGGCATAACACACACCACACACACAAATACAGGAAATAAATCGCATCTACTACAACAAAATGCAAGATAAAAATACATAAATCAAACACCCCAAACTGTGGAAATAAAAATAAAATAAAAACGAAACACAATAAGAGACATCGTAAATACACATGAAAAACAAGGCAAAAAATTAGTACAAAAACAAATCTAGGATCAATTTAGAGACAACAGAACAACCGGTAAAATGATAAATGGCATGAACATAAAAAAACAACATCAAAACGGCCTGGCTCTGCTCCAGCATCGGCTACCATATTAATTTAACACGAACAGTACTTGTGGAAATGCCGGCCGGTATTCATGTTAAAGTCTACGATAATTATCTCCCATTTAGACCTCAAAAAACTAAACCAAAGAAAAGTTAATTTGAGGGCCCCCCTTCTCGTATTGCCAAGACTCAAGAGCTGCAGTCTGCACGAGATGAGGAAGCACACCTTCAATAACTGGTTAAGCCATCAAATGCTATATGATTATCCTATTAAGACAAGCGCCGGTAGACTGTAGGGCGAAGAGTTAATAAAAAAGAAAACGTGAGAAAGGGAATACTGATCTGCGAGTTGTTTTTATGGAGTAATTAATTCAAATACTTTACGTTTTTATTTATTTATTTTAAAAAAACCAAAGAGCGTTATCCCAGAGATATAGAAAATTTTGAATTTAGTTTTAACTACACTTTTCGTGTATTGACCATAAGTGACGTCCTCTTCGAGTAGGTTTCGGATACATACCTAATACCCTAATAGTTGTAGGTAGCCGCTGTGGATTATAATGGCCCGTATGAATAAAAGTAAGCAAATGCTTATATTTGCAAAATTCAAAGTAAATACTCGTAAGTGCTCCTTCCCACTGGGCGACTTAGCAGCGCTTCTAAGCAGAAGGACAGGACGCAGTGCAGCGCTGCTGAACTATGCTAAACAGACCAGTATGAAGGGGCAGTTACCAGTATTTACTTTGAATCTTGCAAGTATAAGCATTTGCTTACTTTTATTCATACGGGCCATTGAGTCACACCATAATCACTGATGACTCTGTTTAGTGTGTTTCAACTGCACTTACAATATGATTTATTCCATTTGAGGTACCAACAAGTAGTAAGCGCGGTCTAGAATTGCAACTTTGTGGTTTGCATAAAAAAGTAGGAAATATCTTTACCTACCTTTAAATTTCGTAGCAGAGGTACTAAAGGTATTACTATTTAAATGACACGTTAAATAGTGAATATTGTAACAGATGCACATAATCAAAAACTATTTCCTTTGTAGAGAAATAAAATAAGGATGATTATGTAAAGAATGTACAAAAATACAATAAATTAATTATTTATTAAGTTGCAAACGCATGATTACAGGAACTATTATTATTTTTAACAAAACGCAAAAGTCTTAAAACTGTAGATGGCGTGATACCTGGTATCCTACTGGCCGCGCCGATCTACAATAAAAATGGTGGATTATTGGCAAACAAAACGTGCAGTAATTACCGTTTGTGGTTGTACCGCTAATAGCTTCTCTTTTTCTTCATAGCTCAAATTTAAACCATCAGATGTATAATCAAGATCATAAGGTAAAACTAAAGCTTCATCCCTCCTCATTTCTTCAATGTCTTCTGCCTGTTCGGCTATTGCAGATTCGTATAATGCTTCCACTTTCAATCTTTGTGCGATTAACTTGTCATCCGCGAAAATTTTTAATTCTGGGCATACTTTCTCCAACATTTCTAAAGTTACATAATCTTTTGTGGAATACGCCAACATTTCGAAAGCACTTTAAATTCATCCGTTATAGGACAAGTTATCCAAATGTGAAAATACCTTTTTTGTTGATTATTTGGCGAAGATGCGATGTGAAGTAGATTCCTCCAAGATAACGACGTTTTCTTTATATCTTTTAGCACACTAACACCTTCGTTTAATTTCTCTTCAATGTACCGCATTCTGTTAAACCGTTCGTTACTGACGCAGCCCGCATTAAAACCTTTCCTAGTTAATCTCTGATCTGCATTATCCGGACGTAAGGTGAGTCGAAATTCTGCCCTACTCGTAAACATACGATATGGTTCCGTCGCGCCTTGGGTAGTTAAATCGTCAATCAACACACCGATGTAGCCTTCAGTGCGACTTACAGTCAATGGAACTTTACCTAAGGCCTACAGAAGCTAATAAAAAAAAGAGAAAGTGGTGCGGCGGTACCTGAGCCGCAGCGTTGATGCCACCTATTATACCCTGAGCTGCCGCTTCTTCGTACCCGGTTGTTCCATTTATTTGACCTGCGAGAAACAATCCTTTCACGCATTTTAATTGTAACGTGTTCTGTAATTCGCGAGGATCTACATATTCATACTCCACACCATACCCTAAAATAACAATAAAAAAAATGCATTATTGCAGTACCAGCTCAGCATTTTAAGAATAATAATAATAATAAAATAGTTATTTGTACAACTAGTTTAGAAAGTGATACTTTTTTTCATGAATTGAATACCAAGAACCGCAATGATTAATGAGGGGTTAGGATTAATGACAGTCCCTAAGTGTGATCTCCAAATCGTTCACGGCCAATTTCAACAAATTACAGAAAATTTAAATTTAACAATCACTAATTACTCATATCTCTACTACTACTACTACTACGTACTAAAGTCACCTTAAGAGAACATAAAGTGAAACAAATGATTGTGCATTCTAATAGCAACGGTCATTCTTATTGAAAATGCGATGCGGAGCACAAAATAAAATAAAGTCCAAAACTGAAAACGATGAGTGAACCTAAGCTTGTTTTTTTTGACGTCTAAATTAAGTTCAGAATTTTCAGGAGTTTTATAATGGCACGACGATAAAGGGAAACTAACCACCCCTAAAACATCCCTTTATCGTCATGTATAATAAATGACTATTAATTGATTAATTGTACACTATTTAAATATCCATTATATGGATTAACCACTGTTTTTAACAAAATCGTTAACTTTAACTTTATAAATTTCCTAGATTTCGACACACCTTTTTGTTGTTGATAAGTGCCAAAAATATTCTTACACAAGTAGGTAATCCCTATATTTCCAGTTATTGTTAACAAATATTTTATTTATATTACAGCAACATAATAACAAATAATAATGTCTACTGTAGCGAATTTCTAGAATGCTATAAAACCGTCATCAAGTGAATAAAAACGTTTACTCTATGATAAAGATTAGCCACTGGCGATAAGGGATGAAAGCGGAAATGACTGCTATAAAATATGATATGCTAATTTTCTAGAAGCTTTTTGTATGCTATATACGCAAATTGAATTGTTGATGTTGAAGTGATAAATGGTGAAATCCGCGCTCGTGGTTAAATTTAAGTGTTATCTATGTGATTGCGAAGTAAGAGATACATATTAATTGTTAATGTTATAAATTAATCTATTTATGGACCGTTAATAGTGTTAGTTGTTGTAAATAATTAAATTTATATAAATAATCATTTAAATAAATCTTATATTAAACATATACGTTATAGGTTATACTGTTATGAGTGTTATGCTACTATTAGCTACAGTTTAAAAGTATCTCTAGGATTTACAGTATAATTACCTATCGTACCTGTTAATTGCTCAATTATTTATTTTATTTCAATGTCAATTGAATAAAAATCATTTGATTACAGTCTATATAGCGAATTTCCTACCGTAATAATTGCCGTTAAAATATACAGGATGCTGCAACTAAAAAATACCAATTTTGGGTCGAATCTCAGAACAGTGGTCCAAAATTTTTTTTTAATACACCACTGGATTCTGCGTACAAATATCTAAAATAGGCAGGTTTTACCTTTTTTAGGGGAATTTTTAGAAAGAAAAACATTCATCACTGATGTGTTGGTTTTGTAACTAGTTCTATCTTACATGGGTAGTAAGATCAAAGAGTATTATGGTTACTCTTTGGTAAGATGATAATATTCCAAAAAGGCAAACTTTTCGTTTTCATCCTGTATTTCAGAAACAAACGTAGCTAGATTGATTCTACTTGAGGTGTTAAAAGTTACAAAAACGTGGCAGGGTCGCAAAAAAGGGCAAGTCTCTATCTTTATAACCAACAGAGATACACTGCAGTCTCAGCCAAAACAGGACACAGTACACATTTTCACTAATGTGGTAGGCACTTACCTCTGCTCAGCTTATCTATTGCAAGCATATTAAAATAGAAACAAACCTGGTCTTACAACGTCAGCTTTTTCTAAACCGGGAATGGTACGAATTAGCTTCACCTGCAATTCCTCAGGTAAAGTACAAGATAAACCATTAGGATAAATTATATCACTGTTCATCCCTTCAGGCTCTAACCATACTTGATGCTTTCGTCCTCCAAAACGTAAAACTTTCGATTCTATACTAGGGCAGTACCTAGGTCCACGAACTTCCTCTCGTACATGTCGATTCACGTGAATGTTATCTTTAACGATACTCTCAATAGCGGCAGTCGTGTGAGTTATGTAACACAGCTTTTGGTCTTCTGCCTTTATCCACACCTTTTCGTTCATAAACGAAAACGGCACAGGAGGATCATCGCCTAATTGCCTATCACAGACTGAAAAGTCTATAGAATTGGCATGAAGCCTTGGAGGAGTTCCCGTTTTTAATCTTCCCATTTTCAAACCCAACCCGGCTAAAGTATTGGCCAGACCTGGGAAAAATTTGTAAATTGACATAACTCAAAAGGAAACTTACCAATTGACGATACGTCGCCTATTCGACCTGCAGGCCTTTTTTCTGGACCAATGTTAATACACGCTTTAAGAAATGTGCCTGTTGTAAGCAGAACACATTGAGATTTAATTTTCTTTCCGTCACCTAAATTCGAAGTTGCTATGAAGCTTTAGTAACATTAAAAAACATACTTAAAACAATCCCTCCACAATCAAAAACATTTCTGCGATTAATCGTGCATGGATTTTTTGTAATTAGATCTTCGACTGACCCTACTAGTATCTCTAAATTTGGCGTATTTCCAAACAGTTCATTTTGTAGATGGTACTTATACAGTTCTCTATCAATTTGGGCCCTTGGTCCCCACACCGCAGGCCCTTTGCTTTTATTAAGGACTTTATACTGGACACCTGACAAGTCACAAATTCGACCACACACGCCGTCTAATGCATCGATTTCCTTCATTAAGTGACCCTTTCCCACGCCACCAAAAGAAGGATTACACGACATCTCACCTGCAATTACATTAGTCAAATCGTATTGTATGCGAAAGTGTCTCAACCGATGGTTTCCTTTTTGTGTGTTACTAGCAAGGTACGTGCACCCATACGTGCGGCAGCTGCTGACGCCTCTGTGCCTGCATGACCACCACCGACAACTATCACATCATATACACTTTCAGTTGAACATTTTCGAATGATCTGTTTTAAAATGTGCACATTGTGATGCTTAAACATGGTATCTCTACAAGAGAAATCGCCTTACAAAAATGGGGAAGATTAATTAAAGTATTAGAGGTTAGAGAAATGAACCGATTAAGACCTAGAGGAATAAAACAAAGAGTGGAATTTAAAATTGCACACACAAGGTACAAGAACGTGCCAGTAAACATTAGTGCAATTGAACTACGTATACAAGAACGACAAAAATCGGGTGCTATTAGAACTACTCTAGATACAAGGTTGCCCACTTAAAAATGTTGATACAATTTAAATAGAGAATGAAGCCTGCCTAGCACTTTTAAGTTGGACGGTTAAAAAGGCACGTGTTCATCGTAGGTGAAGCAATTACTGCTTTCATAAAAAAGAGGAATTTACTAGTTGGGTGGTGGTCAAGAACAACGCATTGAATAAGCTTCTGCATAAAAACATTTTTTTTGGAAGTCGCCTGCATAAAATTCAATGCGTTGTTCTTGACCACCACCGTTGAGTGAAAAATAGTACTCAACGCCACCACCCAACTAGTAAATTCCTCTTTTTTATGAAAGCAGTAATTGGCTTCATCTACGATGAACACGTGCCTTCTTAACCATTCGTCGACTATTAACATGTTTTTGTGTTACTTGTGAAGGGTAATATTTTAACGAAGTTTGCGTTTCTGTCATTCACTTGTGAATTGTCATTGCAAAAGTTATAACACAATGAACGAAACCACATTCATTATTAAACACATTAGCGAGTTTGCGGATGTACATTTTACGTTACAAAACTTGTCGTTATATCTTATAACGTAAAAAAGCTTAAGAATTATACCGTATAAAGACATTATTATACCTTATGTTTATAAATAACGTAAACCAATCAAATTCCAGCAACAATAAATTTATCCGCAAGAGCGTTTCACTAAATTTCCCTTACGTTATATCATAATGTTGAAGTTTATGTTTGTTAGTTTCGTTTGTCTGACTGTTTGTTTTACGTGTTATATACATTTTTTACCATGACAAGTGTAAGTGTACCATAATAATAATAATAATAATAATAATAATAATATAATAATAAAAAATGGCCGTCTAACGTAACGGAAATACGTGTCCGCAAACTCGCTATTAGCATTGAATAAAAACACTTTAAGAAGCCTAACGCTTATGGAAGAAAACGCGACAAATCCCCTTGGCATTGGTTGTGACCGCCGAATTCTTTTTGCGGTAAATAGGAGGAAAGCAAATTCTCATTCTTCTCAGTTCAAGAATCGACTCTATTGACAGTGTTCCCATTATATTCTCAGTTCAATCTCTGTCGCGCTTTATTTCCATGGGGTTAGGCTTCTTATAGTGTTTTTATTCAATGCTATTAGCGAAACCACACTTAAAAAGTGTAGAACTTATGTCATCATCCTGTACATGCTGCAACGTCGTGCCAGTGTTTTAGTTCATTTAACGTGTAGTTTATTTAGGTGCAGCAAACTACCTACTTTTACATTTTGTGTAATTTTTCAAATTTGGTCGATAATTTTGTAATTATACTTGTGTTCTATCGCTTATTATAGTTATAAGCTTAGTTTAATTAATTTCTGCAGTAGCGTACACGAAGTACTAATTGGGCGAGTTGTAAGTGGATAGATTTTGAGGTTAAGGTATACTTATACTTTTTCTTTTGTAGATAAATGGCTAAACATCATCCCGATTTGATTTTCTGTCGCAAACAGCCCGGCGTTGCTATCGGACGTTTATGCGAAAAGTGTGACGGCAAATGTGTAATTTGCGATTCATACGTGAGACCGTGTACTTTGGTACGCATTTGTGATGAATGCAACTACGGATCTTATCAAGGGCGGTGCGTGATTTGCGGTGGCCCAGGTATTTCCGACGCATATTACTGTAAGGAGTGCACAATTCAGGAAAAAGATAGAGACGGTTGTCCCAAGATTGTTAATTTGGGTAGTTCGAAGACGGATCTGTTTTACGAACGAAAGAAATATGGATTTAAAAGAAGATAAACCATTTGTTGTGACGTTTACACATTACTTTTATGTCTTATTTCCTATAATTAGTATTTTATAATGAAAATAAAACAAACATGGGCTAAAATTTTAAGTTCTTATTGCAATACGGTATTGTTGTTTTCAGTTTCAGCTTTTTTTGTTATGGTGATTTGTAATTCCGATCAAGATGTTTTATATGCATATGGCATTATATAATTTATTAGTTATTGTATCATGATTCACATTAATGTGCATATGGGCTATGTATACTCTTAAAAAAATTTGACGTGGCTTGGCTTTGTTAGCACATATATCACCCACACACCAGCGTATGTGCGTCCTCCTAATTCCCTGGCCTTAGGTCTAAAGGTGGGTTCATAGCTCTCCGTTCATCCGTTGCGTTGATCCGTCAAACGGATAGTAAATTTTGTTAAGGTTCATAGCAATCCGTCCACATTGTACATTTGCAACGTATAACCATAACCTAAATTTTATTTTGTACTGTACCCTTCGTGATTTTCAGCATGTAAAAATGGTACGAAAGTAAGAACACGTTGCTATCTGATTATTACCGTGAAGAACGAATAGGGGAATACTGTTAACATACCAAACATAACCTCACTCTTGTTAAAAACGGACCAACGGAAACGTAAATGTTCAACTTCCACCAACTTTTCCGTCGTAAATGGACGACGTACGATTTAAAAATTTGCTGTCTTCTGATTGGCTAACGAACAAACGGAAACGTATGAACGGAGAGCTATGAACTTACCTTAACAATAATAGAAAACCTATGTGTCATGTGTACCAAATTTGGTTTCAAAAATGAGACGCATAGGTAGGCCATAGACCATCATCGAGATTCCCATAAAAACATGATGCTATTATAGACAACCAACTCTACACGAATTTGTTTTCAAGTTTTCACTGATAATCTGTGGTTGCTATAGAGAAAGTACCTAACTATAATTGTTTAGTGCTTCAAACAGTTTCCGAGATATTCCATGTTTATTTCTCGTCAATAATGGCTCGTTTGAGTTACACTGAATTTAATATTAATACACGGCGAATGTAATCGAATAGCGGCCAGGACTTGCCCTCTTTTTTCCGAAAGATACCCTGACAAGCCGCGATTCACAGAGGCTACAATTCGCAAATTATTACAAAAATTGAAGGAATAACCGGTATGTTTCAAACAAAAATACAAAAAAGAAAGCCTGTCGTAGACTCTGAAGAATAAGAAATAACTGTACTGGCTTACTTTGCTGCAAATCCAACTGCATCGCTTAAAATTTAAATGATAAGTATTCAAAGAGTCTTAATTTTTTTATCAATTTGTTACAAGAAGTAATTAAAACATGGAATATCTCGGAAACCGTTTGAAGCAGCCTTTGACATTTTGTATCAAATTAAAGGTCTCGGAAAAAGGAAAACAACAGTGAAGTAAAAAATTGGGGATGCCATTTAAAAAAATAGGGTTACCTATGGATATTTAAAAATTTAAAAGTTGAGAGCTTTGAAAAAGTGACGTAGTCTCACTTTTTTAGACGGTTACGCATACCATAAGAAAATTCGACCTTTTCCTAATAAAGCAGTGAAAACTGTTTTGCAATATCTCTCACCGTTTTTTTTAAATTACCCCTGCAAATTCAATTTTTGACATAGAAACTTGAATATCGACAAAGCCCTTGGAGCAAAGGGTCAACTATGGGGTATCGTTGTACCCCAAATGCGACGTAGAATCCGAAAATGTAGGGGGCCCCTATTTAAAATAACAAAGTTGATGGCTACTTCTGGTATTTGCGGAAGTGGCGCTATCTTGAAAATACTTTAGTTCAATTCATCATGTGCCAAAGCTCTTAAAGGACTTATCAGTTTAGTTTCATTTTCAGAGGTTCTCCATATCTTATTACTGACGCTCGTCAAGAATGACCCTATACTGTGGCGCAGGGCCGCCGTTAGCCTCCACGAGCCCCGCGAATATATTTGATGACCGGGGCCCTATAATGACAAATTTGTTTGTTCATCATTCTTATCTCCAGCTAATCTTTCCTTCTTGGATTCAAAAGGAGAATATTATTTGAATAATTTTCCTACAGGCACAGTAATTTTCATAATTTCACTCTTGGGATTTTCTATTAGTCAAATTAGTCGATATCACTTGATCAAAATTAATTTTTCTAGCAAGTTGAGATGCAAGAGCCAGCACGGAAGTCCTCGCTGAGCACCTGAGGCCGTAAAAAACAACTTATTTAGGAACTTAGTAACTTTTAACATATGAAAAAACTTTGTGCTTCAGCATTTAGGATCACTATATTCGCAGATTTCTGTTAAATAATACAAATGAAAATCAAGTTACAGGATCTTTTTTGGTCGGGCCCCCAGAATACGGTGGGGCCCCGTATTATTGTTAGTTAGGTAAATGTAAATTAATAAAACCACGTAATTAAATGTAAGTTACGCTGGTGTCAAGTGTCGGGTTATGTAAGTGGACAATTAGTCGAAGTTTATGCCAGTAGAAACCAGATCTACTACTTCAAGAAAAATGTAACAACTGCCCCAGTTAATGCAAAAACTCATAGCCAGTCAAGATGAAATGAAAGCAACAGGCTAATGGAAGCTAAAATCGAAAAAGCCACCGACATTCGATAGAAAATCACCGTGGTCCACCTACTTAAGACAGTTTGCGGCTTCTGTCGCTACAAACAAATGGATAGTAGAAGAGAAGGCAACTTTCCAGATAGTTGCTTTAGGTGGAGATGTTTTGCGTATATCGCGATTATGCGGAACGAATACGGACTTTCATTGTTAGATTTCGATCCAGTCAATGGCGTAATGCCATACCTTCGAGGGATTACCCACAACATTACCTTTAGAATAATTAGAACAATTAGAAACAATTAGAACAATTATTTTATAAAATAAAAAATCAAAAAGTGTTCACAACTGCACAATTAACTAACAATATAGTATATTAAGATACAAGTGTATAATCAAGTCTTTAAAGCACGCGCAACGAGTTTAAGGGCACGACGCAAAGCGGAGTGCCTTTAACGTTGCAAGTGCTTTAAAGACCAATAATTATACACGTGTATCTTATAGTATTTTTTATTATACCTGCAGTATAATTTAAAAATAGGAAATTCAATGAAGTCATATTGACGTTATACTCGAATACATGTCTAATTAGGTGGGCTGGGTGTTCGTAATTTCACGAT